ATTTAAAATTTTTCCTTCCATAGTCAAGAAAAATTTCTTTATGAGGGGAGGAGCTGTGATAAGGTTACATAAAAGAAGAAGAGACTGAAGATTTATGTGGACAAGGCTGTCTCGTGAGAATAAGCTGAAAATTATTATTTTTTTAAACTTACAAACACGTTTTCAAGAGTTGTTAAAATAGTCTTTATTAAAATAATTAAATCGTTGGCAATGTTAAAAACGCAAGCTCGAGAGCCACGAATTGCTCTCGCATGTAAAATTTATAGAATTTGATTTTTGAAGATAAGTTTCTCTCATGTAGAATTGTATGTAGCCATTTTTTTAGCGTTCAATAAAATTTTTATGCTGTGTTTTGTTTTGAACCTGATGTCACAACCCAGGGTTTGCATAGCGGTTTCGGCCACTACACCACAGCCCCTTAACGCTAATTGTCTGTGAAGCTATCAAGGGCCTAAAGAACACCCGAGCGCAATAATAGCTTACGAGAGAGTAGCAAAAGGTGGACGCGTGCAGCCAAAATATCTGGTATCTTTCTCATTAAGACTGTAGAACTTCGCGGTTATATACCGCTCTTCCTCATTAACATTCAGAGGTGATTCCAAAACTAAGTTCTGGCCGTAAGTGGTAAGTTGAAGTACGAATCGATAGGAAAGGAAGTTTAACTCAAAATTTAACTGTTAATAAAATTAACATAATCCTTACAGTGCGAAACTGTGAATTTTTTTGGGGGGAGGGGGGAGGCATAAATTTCAGTAAGCTATCATCGGTTCTGTGTGCATTCAATCCAATACGAGCCCTTACGCACTGAACACTTATAATAGCATTTAGAGCTTTGGTGGATGTTGAATTTCTTCTATAAAAAAATCAGGTTTTCTTATACACTTTGACCACAGAAGTCCTTCCCAGCCTTTATGTTTTAACTGCTTGTCACAAACAAATATTTCCAGTTACAAAAATGTTTTAAATGATACAAAACTTAACATTTTGATGCATTTTCAAGTCTGGAGAAATCAGTTTTGTAAAATTTCCAAAATTTGACTTTTTTATAAATTCTCCAGTATCTATACTTACATTTAGGTAAACTTTGTACTCATTATAAGAAATAAAATAGTCTGACTCCAGTATGGCAAAAATTGAATCGAAATAATAGATGGAAAATTCGGGAATCACAAAGAACCATGCGTGACGTGGATACAAGCCAGTTTCCCTTAGAAAGTCCTCCACGAAGATATCCCTCTTTTTAGGCAGATAGCCCCCCGCCCTCTTTGTTATGACTAAAATAAACTAAACCACATTGGAGGACCATAGATAAATTGAACAACGAAATTTTTGCATTTGTATGTGACTAAAAATAAAATATCTCTTAGAAAAAGGTTTCTGACGTTAAGAGAGCATTTCTATGCAAATTACTGTGAAAAATATTGATCGATATCAATTTGTTTTAAAAATGGAGATCTTACTCAAGGAGCTTATAGCATTTGTGTTCTAGAACACAGATGTGGACTTCAGTACGCGCACGTAGACAACTCGTAATATTATTTGCATTAATTAAAAGTGGACAACATTTGTACTTTACTGAATTTTTTGCGCGGTTTCTAAATTATAAATCTAAAGTAATAAAACTTCATGACATTATAAATAACGCATTTCTAGACTCCGGAAACTTATCAATTTTTTCTGTGAAAATTTTTTGGAATACCAAATAAATTATAAATTCTCTAATTTATAATAACCTAATAAACAACGCAGCTGTGTCGACAAAGGGCATTTAAGGAGGATCAGCTTCCATTTATTATAATTTATTTAATAATTGACTTTCCAATGGAACTTGAACACGATGTCGAAATCACGGATTTGGAAATTTCTCTGTCAACTTTTGTCGTGCGGGAGTGAAGCATTTTGTATTTCATTTTTTTGTAACAAGTATGAAATTTTTCTAAATATCAGTATAGTGACCGAAGGAACGCATAAAATTTCGATTTCGTAATTTTTATAAAATTGATTTTTTTAATTTTAAAAGTAACAAAACATGAATCTGCATTATCAAAACATTTCTGTATGTCTATGATTAATGGCTGCGAAAACTGTTAATTTTTAGCATTACAGGTAACCAAGAAAGTTCTCGCGGTTTTTGAGAACAGTCACGTTTGACGCATTAGTGTGGTGAAATTGATTATGATGATGTCATATGTTTACAATCCTTTCAAACCTTATTTATTAGAGTTGATCAGTGCACCGCACGTTTTGCTGTCGGTTTTGTAGCTAGTGAAGTCTTCAGAAGAACATGTCGTTGGATAAGGAGATTTTGAAATCTATTTTGTTTTACGGTAAAAATTAAGAAACAAAGCTGCAGTGGTCGCTAGAAGAATATGCTCCGCTTTTGAAGAGACGTCAGTGAGTGAAGAGATTTCTCAGAAGACGAGAATCTTGAAGACAAGCATTCACCCTCCACGTCCCTCCTCGTCCATCCACCCTCCACGTCCCTCCTCATCCATTAACATTTTGATGCATTTTCAAGTCATCTTCCACAAACTCCAGCTGGAAGAAGAAATCAAGCAGAGTCCTTATCAATCCTACCAGGAGCTTGCATACGGTTTTGTAGTATTTGACGATACCATTCGATCACATCTTCATAACCTTTATATGCCTCGTTTCTGGACTAAATCTTGATATGTAACAAACAATGAATCATGTATGATAAACATGGAAGAGGAAAGATTAGTTCAGAAAGAAGGTTCAGTCTCATTGGCCGCTAAACTAGCCCTTCACTAAAAGGAGGTGTGTTGTATATTTGGTGTACCAGGGCTGTCACAGTCCATTATGAATATCTAGAAAGGGAAAAACCATAGCAGCCTAGGTTGTTTGTCACAATTGCAAAGAGTTTCAGCTACACTGAACCAAAAGCAGTCAGGACAGGTCAACAGAAGAGAAGTTCTCCTCCACGATCATGCCAGACCTCATCTGACAAAACCGACTAAAGAGAGGATCAAAACACTGGGCTGGGAAGTTTTTCTCAGCTACCCTATTCCCAGGACGTCGCTCCATTGGACTATTACCTGTTTTTGGACATAGATAACCACCTGCGGGAACAGCAGTTCCGAAAACAATACGATGTCACAAAGGTTGTATCACAATTTTTGGACGCCAGAAAAAGGGATCTTTCCATAAAAGGTCATTTTTAAACTTGTCTCTCGTTGGGAACATGTGGTTGAAGCCAATGGTGGTTATTTCGAAGAATAAAATGAGTGTTTAAGATTTTTGCGCGCCATTTTTGATGAGGGACGAAAACCGTTTGAACTTTGTTGTTTACCTTGTACGTAGTAGAAAACATGGTTGCCTACCAAAGGAGCATATTTGATGTAAGTAAAACATTAAGTTTTAATAGTACTTTCTTTGAGCTTAATAAAATAGATACAAAAGGCATGCCAGCCTATAAGATGTGAGGGAAAACATAATGTTGCGTGCGTATGCGTTCGTAATAAATTGAATGCACATGTCCGATAAAAGGTTAATAAAATTTATTCTTATCACAAGAAATATAACAGAACGCTGGATTTTTCCTCACAGATATTCGTACAATATCACAGTATCATGCAATATAATCAGTAGCTATACTTTAAACTACTAAAAACGTTAAAATACAACGCAATGCAAAGAGAAAAACTAATCTGATCTCTCGCTGAACTCTAAACAATAACAACAGCAGCTAACTAAACAACTGAGCTGAGATGTTTCTCTCCGGCTTTTTAAAGCTTTCAATCGATCGCGAGAGAGGCCTAGTTATTTCTTTGCTTCTCGAGATTTCTGGAAATGAACAAGAGGATGGAATTAAGGTTATAGATAACACAGTAGTCAATTATATTTATTCAATTTCAATACAAATAAAAGGTAAATCCATTTGTTCAATGTTAAGTGCACGTGCTCTTATATTTTTGCTTTTTCGGCGTAGCCTTTCTCTTAAAATTTATCACGCGCTGCATTGCACAGGGAAATAAAACAATTTTAATTATAATTCTACTAAAAAAATAGCTAACTAAATACAAAATTCGTAACAATAAGATAGATAACGGTGATTCACTTGACTGATTATGAACTACTGCGTTATGTTAGTAGAGTCTGCTAGGCAAGTTACTAGTTTTGCAGGTTCTGCAATTCCATGCGGAACTTCACAGTAAAAGCTGTCCGAGTTACTCTGCTAGGTTTCTAGTCTTCGACAGCTATATTTCATGCCAAGGTTCCATGCTTCAAATCGCCTCATTACGCTAGGGAAAATCACTGCTACTCGCCAGAACGACTCACAACCCTCGTTGCCACAACAGGAAGGCTGCGTAAGGACATTTATGGACACGTATAATGTACAGTAATTCTGAACCTATTTTGCCCCATGCACCGTTTTCATCGTTGCTAGAAGGTCATCCTCCCTCCCTTTTTTTCAAAAACTCGAAAAATATGCATGCATTATATATTATCCTATAGTTATATTTTGAAAAGTTTTATACTTCTTATTATACTTCTTATGACAAAATAAAACTATAAGAAGTTTGACTCCCTTATGACAAAATTGATCAGGATATTTAATTTTAAAATCTGAAGTTTTCGATGCCATTTTCAACTTGCCTCGATGGATCTTTTAATTAAATTAGAATAATTTGGGGTTGGAGTTTAGATTAAGCGAAAGTCGCATATAGTTTAATAGTCTGTACAAGGAAGTCATATGGTATCTACTTCAGATTTTTTAAATTCATAAACTAAAACGAAATATTTGACAGTTAAATAAAAGTCTGACCCCATTAAAAAAATCCCTCAGTAATAATTCCTTCCTGGTTAAGGATCCTTGCGTATATAAACAATACTTCCAACTCATCTTTTATGTTTCCCCTTGATGTCTAAACAAGAAGTGATGATTATTTACAATTGTAGTCGAGGTTAAATGAGTGCTTATATACAGGAAAAATTAAAGTTTTATTATGATTTAACAATTCTAATAATCTTGTTTGCAGAACTGGAAGCAATGAGATTATCTTACAGCAGACTACAGGAAAGATTAGAGAAGAAGGTAGATTAAATGAAGAAATCACACTTTTTTTAAGGAAATTCCTGTAAGGTATTTATTTGTGTTTATAAACCGTGTGCTTGCATGTGAAATCTCGGGCAGATGGAAGTATTTGTAAATACTTTAAATAAATTTCACCTACTCATGCAATTGTCTTTTTGGTGACGATATTATAACATTTTATAAATCAAAAACAAGTTTTTGCTAACAAGAATTCAGCATACGAAAAACGTCCATGAACTTAATTAACCGTTTGAAATCAGAAATATTGAATAAGTCTTGATATGCAAGATACGAAATAAAAGGGAAGAATAAATTACAGTCGAACTTCGCTGTAACGAACCTAGCTTGTAACGAACCTCCCGGTTATAATGAACGAACTTTTGGGTCCCGCCCAGTTCCTAAACACTTAATATTATTTTACCCAGCTACAGAGATTTTTCAAAAGCATGAAAATCAGTTATAGCGAACTATATGGATATCTTCGATCGAAATCTTTTTTGTGTTTTTTTTTTTTTTTCCTTCTCCCTTTCAGAATTTCTGCAAGTTTAAATGAAAAAATTACTAATCCTTAAATTCGTCCACGTGTAGGATGTTAGGATCCACATTCCATTCATACTCCGCGTTTCATTCGTAAAAGAAAACTTTTTTTTTTTTTTTTTTTTTACCTTTACTCCCATTTTTCTGTGTGTTCTAAGTAAAAGCTTAGCGAGATAGGAGTGACATCCGACACTGGGAGAACGAAAATAAGTGGATCTTATTATGACTCCATAATGAGTATATGATTATTGAACTGAAACACTTGAATTATTTTAAAATTTTGACTATTCAGGAGGGAAAGAGGAAGTAGTGAATCTTATGAGCTTCGGGGTATGCAGTTGATTTGTCTGTTAGTAAATGAAATATTAATCCTTATCGGTTAAGGTAAGGAAATCGGATATAACGAACTGTACGAATACCTTCGATTGAAATATTTTGCGTTTTCCATACTTTTCAGAAATGTCTGCGATTTTAAACAATAAATTTACTAACGTTGAAAATCATCCATGTTCAAGATGTGCGGGTCTCTCTCTCTTTTTTTTTTTTTTTTTTTTTTTTTTTTTTTATGTTCACACCCAATTTTATCTAAGACCTAAACAAAGGTTCTACAAGACAGATATGAACTCAGATCTACGAGAAGAAGACATAATAAGCATATCTGAGAACCTTACGGGGTGTGAGGGAGCATTGAAACAAAAAACATGAGTAGATTGGGTTCTCCGATTCCGTTCAAATTCTTTGACTGAGCATTCAAACATACATTATTCAAGACTGATCTATAAATTTTTGCTATTCTGAGCTTCGGGGTATACAGTTGGTTCGTTCTTTTGCGGAATGAAACTGAAACTTATCTGTTTGTTTTGTTTGAGTATAAATGCTCTTCGAGTTATGTTTTTCAAATAAGGTTTTAGGATTATTTAGGTCTTTGCAAGACTTGGAATATTCTTTATAGATGTTACTGAATCTTCGCAACGTAAACTTAGATAAAATTTTCCTAAAATTTGCCTAGCAATAAACTGCACATTATTCTTGTACTCAGAAGTTAAGTAAAAGGTAAATTCATTAACATTTGTTATTCATTTTTAGTGTTTTTACATGGTTATGAACAAAATAATTATTTATAATTATTAATAGTTAATTCTAGGGAAGATCCAAAGAATGATATTTATGCTAAGTAATTTATAGGTAAAATTATTAATGTGTAATGAAACTGGAAAAGGACAACCGATAAATTTAATCACTGCCCAAAATAATAATTGTTATTGAATCTTAATATGATTTTTTAATTAGATTTATTATTTACTTCTTTTGATAGAAGCAACAATGTTAATCAGCCCTTTTCTGGGATTCTTCATTCAACACTTACACTTTTTTTTTGTAAGATATTCATTTTACTCATCGGATCTTAGATAGTGAACCAAACTTCCGTGTTATAGCGGGTTTCAACTGTATCAATATTCTGAAGCTATTTGTACTTTTCTGTTAAAAGACTACAAGAAGAAATTATTAAAACATATTACATAAGAAAGTAATAATAATAATGTATAATTTATTTATTATTTTAATATATTTCTTTTAGTGTTTATATTGTCATTCTGAGTTAACTCTCTTCCTCACGCTTTTCCTTGTTCCACACAATTCACTCAGCTTATGACTTAAGGACCGTTAGGGGTATTGTACGAACACAACTAACATAGTCGACCCATCCCCAAAACCATTTTTTATGCAGCAAGTTGAAAAATCTGAACTAGGCACACCCGACACAAACCGACTCGTTAGCTCAGATAAACCCCAGTGGGAACAAGTCGACAACTACACTCATGTCCATAAATTAAGGATAATTCGGAGTCACGCGGAAATCGAACTCTAAAATATAAATATATCACCTGTAAAATCACTACACACATCTTCAAGAATCATATGCAAATTTCAGGAAGTAACCAGATGACACCGATGGTACGTCACAATGACGAGAGTGTAAGAGAGTGATATATAAGGAATACAGGCAAAGAAGTAAAATTGTTCGCAGGCGCTTTATAAGCATTTCAGTGCAATAACCGAATAATTATGACACAAAGGACGCATTTGGATGATTTTTTACGTGGTAGAATTATCGGCCGTCTGGAATGTGGGCGTACCCAACTGGAAGTATCAGACGAACTTGGAATTGCCCAGAGTGTCATCTCCAGGCTTTGGCAACGATTCCAAGATGATGGTAATGTGAGTAGACGTTACAGCACAGGTCGCCCCAGAGTTACAGCGCCGAATAAGGACCGGTATTTGGCAGTTACTGCCAAAACAAACAGGTGGAGCACAGCCTGAGACCTGCCTCGTCAGCTCTCTTCAGCCACTGGTACGACAATTTCAAGGCAGACCGTGTACAGACGCTTAGGGCAGATTGGTTTATATGTTCGTAGACCTGTCAGATGCGTTCCACTTACTGCAACTCACTGTCGCCTGCGGTTAGCCTGGAGTAGAGAGCATGCACTGTGGACACCGCAACAGTGGGCTTGTGTGATGTTTTCCGACGAGTCCAGGTTTAGCTTGCAGTCTGATTCTCGCCGGACTTTCATATGGAGAGCTCCAGGTATTCGTTACCACCAAGAAAGCATCATTGAACGACACCGTTACGGTGGTGTAGGAGTGCTCGTTTGGGGTGGAATTATTCTGGGTTCCAGAACTGACCTTCATGTTCAAATTGGAATCATGACAAGCCATATCTATCGGGACGTCATTCTGGAACAACATGTACATTTGTTTCGGGGTGCCATGGGCACACAATTTGTTTTATGGATGACAACGCCAGTCCTCACCGTGCAAATATCGTAAGCGAATGCCTTCAATCGGAGGATATCACCCGTACAGACTGGCCAGCATTCTCACCAGACTTGAACCAGTAGAACACGTGTGGGACATGCTTGGCCGACGAGTTGCAGCCCGTCAACCTCCTTCTACATGTCTACCGGAACTTCGGAGTGCATTGCTTTTTGAGTGATGTAATATCCCCCAAGATCAGATCGATAATTTGATACTCAGATGCCTAGGCGTTGTACGGACTGTATTGCATCGTCTGGGAGACATACAATGTATTAACAATCAAACCAACCATGTAATATTGGTTTTTTTTTTTTTTTTTTTTTTTTTTTTTTTTTGGTAATTTGCTCCAGGGAGAAAAAAAATCGCTAATTTTTTTAATAATATCAAACATATAGCATCTGTTTTTGCTCTTTACCTTTTGTTTAATAAATAAGCTTTACAAATAAGTCAAATTTGTTTTGCTTCTAACTTTTCCTTTGCCTGATTTTGCATTATCCTTAATTTATGGACATGAGTGTATTTACACGTTGGCCGACAAGACAAATTAGTTTGAAATTTTAAGAGAAGACGGTAAGTTTCAGTTTGGAACGTCCGTTTCAGAAATCCAGACATGCATTCAAGAAAAAAAAAAATCCGCTTGAAATTTAATTATCTTTATTGTTGTACATTGTACTTCAATGGTGGTGGAGAAATGTTAAAACGAGACTAAAATCTATAGGTATAATATACCGTATTTCCTCACGTATTTTTCCTCCTAAATTTTTAAATCTGAAAATTTTGAAAATATTCGCGTCATTTTCCTCTTCCTCAATGCGTTCAGAGAAAGAGCTGCCCTAAATTTTGCAATGGATTCTCCCATGTAGTGAATTTTTTCGTCTTACTAAAATAACAAACCCTCGAAAACTGCCTGAGAAGGTCATGCCGAAACTTTCCGTTCTAACAGTTGAATTTCGGACCAACCTAATTCATGAACCGACCCATCACAGCGAAGCCAACATGAACTGACCTTCAGTGGTTGATTTCGCCGATCGGCTGCACATTCACTCTTTGTAATTGTTGTGTATGATTTGAGGCTTAAGGAGTAGCAAAAGCATAAGTAATAACGGGCACGATTCAAGTTACAAAAAAGTAGAAGAGAAGATATCTTATCAGATACTGTAATATCATTATTGTTGTGCATTCGTATTGGTTTGTAGGTTCTGATGAAGTCTAGTATCGGGATAAAAGCAACTCTCATCAACGCTGCCCGGACACCCATGTAAATCTTGGTGAACAGTCAGCAATATTCACAAAGGTTCCGCCACCTTACTAAAGTTGACAATCTCTCATCAAGACGGGTGCGCTAAACTAAGAGTAGGTCAAAACCTGTATATTACCACAGGCAAGACTGGATTAAGACAAGGATGGACTAAGATGCCCTAAGCACTTGAAAGATTTTGGTGCCCTCACCTTTATTTACGCCAGCTTTTTCTTCATACCTTCTTTCTCATTTGAGTCTGGGTTAGCTGCGCCCATGCATACCATGGCAAACCCATAAATGCGAAATTTTTCGGGCAATCTTTTTCAAATACCTAAGGACCTTTTTTGTGATGCCCCCTTTTCTTGATTCCCTAAGCATACGCTTATATTGCTTAGTGGTTAATCCAACCCTAACCGCATATGATTGAGATATTGCGAAACCTAGCTAAGTATTCAGCTTCCACTCTAGATTTTAGGGACCAGGGTTGTCGAATGGTCTCTTTCCCCTCTTTTCTTAGTCGAAAGGTCCTCTTTCTTTATTCTCTTTGCCGAAT